ACAACAGAAACCCCCGACCCTCTATGAGGAGTTAAACCCAAATCTTAAAGTGGCCAAGGTTGAGAAACACTGCTAAGTGGATACTCCTAAGTGGCACTGAACAAGTTTTTTTAATGGTACTTTGGTCCTGTTTTAATGGCTTTTTAGATGTCACTTTGCATTATGTAACTCGAAGGAGACTCGTTTCACTGCAGGTTGAAACCAAGGCGGTCTAAATGTGGAAGAGTCCCGTGGCAAACCACGGTTGGATCCCTGCGACAATTAGCAGATCAGCTGGACTCCAGCTTGACTCACGCTCAAGATACGTAGCGGGAACTCCTGAGACTCTATCAGAGGCAACCTTTCGACCCTCGCTTAAATCAAGACACACACCGCCAGAAAGACCACCCCAACAAATTCAATGGCCAATTAGCTTTATTTATTCTCATGAAGACACCCCTTAGGTGTTCACAGCACCCTTCCGTCGTTCAGCCGCCCCTGCGATTTTTGTTTTCTTTTGAACGTTTGCAACGTGTCGGTGTCCCGTGGACGGTGGGCCCCAACCATCGTCCTCTTCCCCGGGGCTGCAAGTAGGTGAACGATGCCCGGGAGTCAGAGGTAGACCAGTACAGCCCTTTCTGGGGTCTGCAGAAGAGGCTTCTAACCAAGATGCAAGTGGAAAAGAGACGTTTGGAGCCGAGGGAGGGTGAAGGGGGCATGATCTGAGCAGGGATGAATGCAAAAAGGGGGGGGGGAACTCACACAGAGAGAAAGGCTTTACAGACTGGGTGCTTTTCTCTTCCAGTTTGGGTAATTTTTTTTTTTTTTTTAAATGTGGCCTTCCACGAAGGTTTAAGTGGAGGAAAGGGGTCGGGCCACGTTCCTTTCCGTTGCCGACTTCTGAACCTCCAACCCTTGTCGGCTTTTCGTGCGTGGCCGGCCGGGGGTCAAACCTTCGGGCGAACGGGCACTCCGGGCGTTCACCTCCAAAGATCCGGGACGGCAGGGAGACAACAGCTCGGGGGTGCCGACTCCCTTGGACCTTCCTTCCCGGGACCTGGGCCGACTGGACGGAGGGGCCTCGGCGGAGATCGTCCTCCTGGGGGTGGGCTCCCTCGAGCAGGGGCGGCTGGCCGTGGGCAGCTGGGGGCTTGGGTCCTTCAGACGCACATCCATGCAGCCCGGTTGTCGGGAGAGCGGGATTTCATCGCTGCATTTCTCCTTCGGGGGCTTGGCCCCCAGCTCCGCGAGCTCCTGGGCATCTGGCCCGCCGCTGTCTTTCAGCCGGAGGTCTATGCTGCCGGGTTGGCGGGAGAGGGGGCCGTTGGGGGTGGTGGCTCCTCTGGACCGGACCTCTTCTCGAGATGGCATCTTCCCGGTTGAGACGGGACGCTCGGATTTCTTGCTGGTGGGCGGGCTGGGTTTCAGAACTCTTTCCTTTTTCACGGGCACGGAGGGCTGCAGGGGAAAGAGAGCCACTAGACCAATATTTCTCAACCTTAGCAACTTTAAGATATGTGGACTTCAACTCCCAGAATTCCCC